TGATTGAGGCTGGTTTGTGAGGAAATCTTTGATCCAGGAGCAGGTAATAGGTGGTCCAGTTTGGTGGTGAGGATGTCTAGTATTATGGTGTTGGTGGTAAACGCTGAGGTGTAGTCCACGAAGAGCATCGTCAAGTAACTCTTCCTGTTCTGCAGATCATTTAGTGCTCTGTGAAGGGTGATGGTGTTAACAAAGAACTTATTTTAAGTGGCATCTTTAAGCACTTTGTTTCTAATAGCCTGTTACAAAAAGACAGAATTTGTTCCCATTTTTTTGTTGAATGTTTGAAAGATGTCAAAGAAAATGCAGTTTGACAAGCATGAAAAACTATTTTTACAACAACAATTTTATTCCAAAACAGCTATTGTCTGAGAACCTGGCATACTCAGCATGGTGTGCAGTGTGTCCTTAAAAAAGTAGCGGACAAAGGAGGAAGTGACAGGCCTAAAAAACTGCTGTAAAACACCCAAAAGAAGTGAAAATAAATAACTAATCGAGTCTGGAGACACGTTTTAATGGTTGCAGAGTTGTTACAAAAGAAGAAGATGTGGTTTTGTGGGTGAGTCTGCATGCAAAAAGATTCATCTTGCTGATTTTCTTCTTGATTGGAAAGTGTAGAGCTGTGAAGGTGTGTGTGTGTGTGTGTTTTGTCTGTCTGTGGGTGTTTGAGTATGTTTGTGAGTGTTATGCTGGTGGAGTTTCAAAAGTGATAGTTGTTATTAACTACATGCTGACTGTTTTCCATTTATGTTCCAGTGCATTTAAAAAAAACACCAACGTGTGCACATTGTGACATTTTAAAGAAGAAGAAAAACCTGACTCTTAGTGGCAATGTCTTGTACGTACATTGTAGTTACGATATTTATAATTTCATTGTTAAAAGAAAGCATGGCCCCTGTCAGTTCTGAGGTTTTACGTCTCAGGATAACAACATTTTGATGTAGCAGGTCTCAAAATTAGACAAACCAAATGTCAGGTGAGCTACAACAACAGTCTTCTCATGAGTGGAAATTCTCCCCAATGCTCAGTTGAATTGTAAAACAAAAAAATCCAAGGGCTGCATCTCAGACTCTACAGGCCTCGGTTAGTATGTTATATGTTAAAGTTCATCACAGTACAAGTAGGAAAGGTCTGAACTAGTATGGCTGGTTTGGAAGGACTGCAGGGTGACAGCCGCTTCTCTCGAAAGACAACATGGCAGCACAGCTTCGGTTTGTACCTGAATAAGTTACAAAACTTCTGGAACAATGTCCTTTGGACAGACAAGACCAAAGTGGAGCTGTTCGATCATAATACACAGCACCACGTTTGGAGAAAACAGAACACAGCATATCAGCACAAACACCTCAAACACTGTTGCTTGGTGGTGGAGGGGTGATGATTTGGACTTCTTTTGCAACCATGGGGCACTGGGGATATTGCAGTCATTGACTTGGCCATGAACTCGGTATAGCAAAGTATTCTAGAGTCAAATGTAAGGTCATCTGTCTGAAAACTAAATATTGGCTGAAACACAATCAGGCAGGAACCACGAGGATTTCCCAACCACAGCAGGAAATCTACAACTGCATGGCTGAACAAGAAAAGAATCAAGGTGCTGCAGTGGCCTGGCCAAACTCTAGACCTCAACTTGATTGTGATGCTGTGGTGGGACCTTAAGAGAGTTGTGCATAAGCAAATGCCCAAACCTCAGTGAACTGAAGTTACATCAAAGAAGAGCGAGCCAAATTTCGTCCACAGAGATTTACGAGACTGATCAAGTGGCACAGAAAATGATAATTGGTCGAAGAGGTTCTATAAGCTATTAAATATCAGCGTGTACTCTGTTTTTCTGCATTTTGGCCTAATTTTAAATGAAACCAAACAAATAAAGTGAGAAATCTGATCTTTGCTGTGTTACCACTGAAATGAAACTAATTTAAAAACCTTTAAGAACATTAAAAGTGACAGAGGGCGTACTTTCTTTCTGCCATGAGAGCAATTGTATAATTACAGTCATTCAGTTTTGTATGGTAAATGTTTTAATGCACTTATTTGTTCTTACGCAATGTGATTTCTAATAACCTAAAACCACAAACAACATTTAATATGCTGAGAGCGAGATACAATCAGTCTTTTGTGCTTCATAAAAAACAGAACCCAACCCTGTCACTAGGTGTCAGTGTGTGACTGAGCATTGCTGTGTTGTTCCCCTGCCTCGGTGAAACCTCTGGAGTTGATCTGGCACAGACGGGGAGATCACAGGATCTTCAATAACTGAAAGGTAGCTTGCTGGCAGCAGCCTGTTCAGACAGTCAGATGGACAAACAGGACTGGAAGATTTTAGAGTGAGAAGTCGTTCTACGATCTGTCTCAGGGCACTAACTGAAGTCATGAGATTACTCTTAAACAGCTCAGCAGAGCTAAAAAAAAAACGTGACTGTGTGTCACTGCAAAAAACCAAAACAAAAAACAGCTGACTGGAAAAGGAATCGGCAGGAAAAGCGAAGGTTATCAAATGATACGACCAAATGTCCCCAAACAAAACACTGAGCAGATAAAGAACATTCACATTCAGCAATTCCAGTCGGCCTTGCTGCCGAGCAAATCGGTTACTCTAGACCATCTTTACTGCTCTACGCTGGCAGCTGTGGCGGTACGAGGCAGCTGTTAGTGCTTCATTTGATGACTTGGGTCACTCTTTTTCCACTGGTGGCATGTTTTAACATAAAATAAAAAAGTTCCCAAAAACCAGGCTTGTTCTTTTTTTATTACTAAGTTATTATACTGTGTTGTGTTGTTTGTGTTGCGTTGTGATGTGTCATGTCGTGTCGTGTCGTGTTATATGTAGTGCCGACGTAGGACAGTTTTCCAATTTCATTGTACTATTGTACTATGTATGACTGTGCAATGACAATAAAGAGTTATCTTATCTTATCTTATCTCTTATCTTGCAGTGATCACCACTATGACAATCAACAACCTGAACGTCTAACACACACCATCAATTCACTGATGAGTTAGATGAAGTACGTGTTTATTGCTTATTTGGTGTTAAACAGTTACAACGATAACCACACGACATCGTTCATATACAAGAATACAGGAGTATAAATATAGAGTATTTGTACTACAGGGTAGGATCTGTCAAAAAACACAAGACACACATTCAAAAAGTCATTCGCTCACACATCCGTGCAAACCGGTGACCTCACAGTGCGGTTTGCACTTTGCACTTGACATACATTCATTCACAAATCCAAATGGAAGACCAGTTCTGCCTCAAAAACAGGGCTCAGTCCCCCACGTGAAGTCTCTTTAGTGTTCAGAGTGTCGCCTGCACTCGAAGTCCTTCTGCTCTCCAGAGCCGACGCCGTCGTTCTTCATTTGGAATAAACAGGAGTAGAAGGGAGGGGTTCGAAAATGGACTAATCCTTCAGGAGACAGCTCGTCTTAGTCCCAGTTTGACCCTCACTTAAAGGGGACGTATTATCCTTTATAAATACTATTACAGCGGTGGGCCAAAGTTTCAATTTAGGTAATTCAGATTGTTTCAAACACTATGTTTA